GTCTAATTTAGTGAAAATCCTTGCTCCTTGCAAGATCTCGAAAGCCGACGACATAAGTGGCAACGGGTACCGGTTCTTAACAGTTATGTCGTTCAACCCACGGTAATCTATGCAGGGACACAAAGAACCATCCTTCTTTTTCACAAAGAAAAACCCCGCGCCGGCGGGAGAGGAGGAGGGAACAATAGTACCGGCGGCCAGCGAATCTGCAAGGTATTTCTCAAGCGCTTCGCGTTCGGGGGTGGACAAGGAATAAAGTCTACCACGAGGTGGCGTACTACCCGGAACAAGATCGATGCTGCAGTCATACAGTCGATGGGGAGGGAGAGAAGCAGCACGGGAATGACTGAATACCGCTCGCAGATCGTGGTACTCCTTCGGGACACCAGATAAATCGCCGGGTTCTTCCTGAAACACAGAAACAGAGGACACAGCAGGCACAGCCGAGACAAGACACTTAACATGACAAGATACGCTCCAAGACATTATGGTCCCTTCTACCCAGTTAATTTCGGGATTATGCTGAGTTATGAGGGATGCCCTAAAACGATAGGCATTAAGGGGGAACGAAAAATAAAAAAAGAAATTGTCTCTTGGTGATTGCCAGAAATGGTGAGACTCACCGGAACGGTGGCTCGAAGGATCTTGGAGAGGATGCGACCATCCAGGGCATAGATGGTGGGAGGGTCACTTAATTCTAGAAAAGGAATGTCGTGATCGATAGCCCAGCTCTCATCCATGAAATTCCCTTCAGCCCCCGAATGAACAAGGGCCACACAGGGAAAAGTGGAGCCTCCACAGCGTAGGCAGGCCTCGAGGGAGGTACGTGTCTTGTGAGATGGGGAAAAGGTAGTCGCGCTCACCAGTACTCCCCGGTCTACTGGCGAGCCCTCTCTTTTACTGGACATCTTGCGGTGAAATGCCCCAGAGCACCACAATACATACAGGGACCCCCCGTAATGCAGCGCTGACGCTCCTCAGCAGAGATACGCAGACCCCCTATCTGCATGGGCTCGGGTACAAATGAGGCCACTACTGGAGGTGGAATGGCAGGCAAAACCATCCGTTGCTCAGAACCGGGGGTGTGGGCGCAACGGCGAGTCTCAAAGCACTTGTCGATCCGGATGTCCAGTTCCACCAGCTGGTCCAAGCCGGATGGCAGATCACGGGCTAGAATCTCTTCCCTTATCTCCCCCGAGAGACCCTCCAAGAAGCGCGCAGTGAGGGCCGGCTCGTTCCACTCACAAGTGGAAGTGGTGAAGTGTTGCAAGTTGTCGAGACGCCTCAAAACCATAAACAGAGTGGTCGAACACCTTTATCATCTCCTCCTTAAATGAAGAAAAACGCTCACAGCAGTCGGCCTCCGACTCCCACACTGCCGTTCCCCAGTCACGAGCCCGCCCAGTCAGGAGAGAGAGCACAAAAGTGACCCTGGAGCGATCCTCGGCATATGTTATAGGTTGGTGGGAAAAAAACACCTCACACTGCGTCAAAAAGGCTCGGCACTCAGTGGGCTGTCCAGAATAGCAAGGAGGATTGTTTGCGAGGTTCTGGAGAGTTACCATCGGCTGCTCAGGGTGCAGATTCTGCAGATTAGTTAAATCCATCACCTGGGCTGACAGGCTCTCCATGGCGTACCTGTCGGTGGCGAGTTCCTCCTCGTGTCGGCCCAGCATAGCCCCCTGCAGCTCCACTGCTGAACGAATTGGAGTCTCCTTCGCTGGGTCCATCCTTTGGCCAGATTATTCTGTCACGATAAAATGACCCAGAAGCAAAGGCAAGTCAAACAGAGGATTTATTGTCCACAAAAACAAACTTAGGCAGTCTGCGATCACTGGCCGTATTCGGCGTACGCAGAACTGGACTTTAACTCAGGAGCACTGGAACATAAGGATTGACTTGACTTGAGTGTTCGGGGTGCCACCCCGGGCTGCAGAGCGAGGATCGACTACCTCTCAGACAGTACGGACCGGAGGACAGCGTCCGGAGGAGAGCGAGTTGCTGGCAGCGGGTAACTGGGAGACTGGGCATAAATCCAGGTAAGGCACACGATAGGACACGAATAGCGAACAGCTGAGTCTAGGATAGCACAGCACGAAAAAGAAAAGAAAAGAAAACTCCATGTATGCTAATACTACTGAAACTAAAACTTAAATAAAAATTAATAAAAACTATATAGACATAAAAAAATAAAAAATAAAAATGGCAAAAACATACAACTAAATTACTTTACTGGTATTAAAATGTTACCTAAAATTTAAATAAAAATAAAAACAAATTCAACATATTAATGAAAACTGTAAGATATAAAATAACACCAGCCTGGACATGCAACACTGTAGCTTGAATTTCTTTCCATGTATGTTTAATGCACTGGGGAGTGATGATTTGAATCATCTAAAAAGGCCTTCAGAGAAGAGTAATATTGATTGCAACAAAGAAAGACGTTTCGATCTCACTCCATTATGTGTCAGACGTGTCTACAGTAAACAGACGCGAGTCTGCCTTTTTCACAGAGCTAAAACGTCAAAGAGCTTCAGTTTTAAACAGAGCATCTGCATTCATGCGTTATTATTCCTGTTTTAACTGGCTAGAAGGCTTCCATTACAGAGATTGGTGTAGGGCCACCCGTCACATCTGAGGAGCAGCACAGAGACGAGTGATTATACTGAATAAATAAGTTCATTAGCGCCTGGTAATGCTCGGCTGCCTCCTGCCATGCTCATTCACAACGTTCTTTTTCACAAGCTGGCGTGAACCTCCACACTAAGCATATGACATGAAGATGGTCCCTCTGCGCACTGATGTCATGGTCAGCAGCATGCATTCAGGGACACGAGGACCTTTATTAGCATCTCATTGCATCTGCCCAATTGTGATGCTGTGGTCGCATTTGCTGCATTGACATAAATGTCCAATGTTGAAATGTCCTAATGAATGAAATGCAGACAACAAAATTCAAGGCAATAAAAACAAAATGCAAGAAACAAGTGACCTCAACAACATGTTGGTATTTCAGAAGACGGACCTGGAAATTAATAATTTGGGAATAATTCCTTTCATAATTAGCCCCGCTGAGCAGGACCGTCGCCAGTGGGGAAAAAGGTGGTGACAATTATAGGCCCCCCCCCCCCCACAGAATCCTACCACCA